TTAGGGGCGCCTCAATGCAAATGAGGATGCCCATAAGGGCACCTGCATGCGAAAGAGGGGCACCTGTGAAGCCTATAGGAATGCCTCTGAGGCCCATGACGCCCATAAGTAGAGGCGCCCACATGCAAAAGGGGCGCCCTTGAACGCCATAATGGAGCTTCCATACGAAAGATCGGTCCCTGCATCCCAAAGATGGCCACGCCTCTGAGGCCTATGGAAAGAGGAAGGAGCGCCTGTGAAGCCCATAGGCGCCTGTGGGCGCCTCACTGGGAACGAGGGGCGCCTGTAAGGTCTACAGAGTCGCTTTTGATGCCCATAGGGGCGCCTACATGCGAAAGAGGGGCGCCTATGAAAGTTATGGGGCGTCTTCATGCGAAAAAGGGGTGCCTATGTAGGTTGAAGGTCGTTTGTGTAACGTTTCTCAGGGGTGATGCGCCCTTTGCGGCAAGAGGTCGGAGAGGGGAGCGCCTTCGTCGCCACCAAAGAAGCTGGAGCATTCATTGCTGATTGGTCATTCACTGCTAACGTGACGCATGGATGTTGGATAGGATGCTTTGCCCTATAATCGCTGGTATTATTGCGGGTACCCCTGTGGAGCAACCATGTGGTTAAGGCCCCAAATGAATTTTGCTTGGGGGAGGGGAAGGGGCACGGTTTTGAGATCGTCCTGTTGTTTAGGAAGGCTGTTGCTGTTGTTTAGGAATAGGAAGGCTGTTGCTGTTGTTCAGGAAGAAATGGGTAACGGCGTCATATCCCAGTGCAGTTTGTGCGGTAATACACCTACGGAGGAAATATTGATGCGGATGGTATTGACAGACGAGTTCCTGCAGACCTGCTGCTTGGTCAGTGGTACGTACACCTGAGAATGGGATGCATACCTACACCGCGACGGATTCGGACACTGGATTAGAGCTGGCCCTACCACGAAGGCAAAGCGTCTGCAAAGTACGTGGTTGGCACTAAAGTCATCTGTGGCAAGTGGCGAGTGGCGCTCTGCTCGGAGACGTACTTACATGGAGAGAAGCATCACGGCTAAAAGTAAGACCTATATTGACCAGGGTATGCGTGTTGACTGCTGCAGCGTGTGCCTCGGCGCAAGCAGCACTGCACGATCCGGTTGAAGTCCATTTTGGAGATCTGTCTCGTTTGGTTGCTGAATTAGATTTGGAAGGGTCTTGCTGTGCATGAACCGTAACCACAAACTCTGCTGGCTCTTGATCTATGGGTTTCAAGTTTGTTTTCATAGTTTTGAAAGATATTATAGAGTAGTTGCTGGTTCAGAACATTCAGAAAACTGTTAGTTTTGTCATTTGTATAGAAATATTTGTGCATTTTAGGAAAATAAACGACCCTGCAAGCCTTGAAACCTGGGCTGCGGAGTCGGAGTCGGAGTCAGTCGGAGTCGATATCTCTAGCCGAGGTCGGAGTCAAAGTCGGAGTCGATTGTGGAAGCCGGAGCCGGAGTTTGAGTCACCGAAAATCCCGCGACTCCGCGCAAATGCCAGGGCTGCGAACATGGAGTCGGGGTTAGAGTCGGTCAGAGTCGACAGCCATACCTGGAGTCGGAGTCGGAGTCGGAGGTGATAAGTGAAAGTCGGAATTGGAGTCAGAGTCAGAGTCACCGAAAATCCATCGACTCCGCATCCTTGCTTGAAACAGTACAGTTCACTAGACCGACCCACCACCATGAATAATAGCATCGATCTTTATGGCAGTTAGGCATAGCATGTCAGTAATGACGTCATAATCTGACAACTTGGAAAACATCAGAGGCGAGTGTTTGCCATAATGTTGCCGATGAGTATGTCGTCTAATATTCTAATTTTCACGAATGAGTTGCAAAGTCTTCTTGGCAAACATATCTTGTACCTATGCTGCTAAAATGCATGTTTTTGCGAAAAAATGATGTCACCAACGCCCAGTGGTACCAAAAGGTACCACTTCAAAAAAGGATATTTCTAGATTTCGCACATTTACCAAACTCACATGGTACTCTTAGGGGTCCATTTACTCCAATTCAGCAAATGGGCACCCGTGTGCGTTCGCTGGGGAATTACGGGCGTTAATGGGTTAAACTTGGCCCGAACCTTTTGAATGAAAGCAATCACAAGGACAGAGTCCCCGCTAAGCTGAGCTTGTTGCGTTGACCCTGCTCTCTACCCTCCGATCAAACAATTCCTGGTCTATGGCAGAATTTAGGGTCCAAATTTTAACGTGCGCACATAGCCGCGCACGGCCGGCCCCCTCACTGACTTTGCCTGGCAGCGGCCTGCCACCAACCACAACCATACCCGTCAGGAGGGTCAAAAACGTCAAGCACACGTCGCGTTTCGAACCCGGACTTTTCCAACCGGGACGTTCGCTCTCACCACATCGCACATGGAGTCCAACGCCCTACCAACCGAGCTACCGGGACGGACATTTACCTTGGGGTTTCGCCTCGTGTTATTGACAGACGTCAGACACTTTAGCCGAACTCTAGCCTAAACACTGAGCAAGCTGCGCAGGGCGATAGGTGCTCGTAGCGTTGAGGTTGGGTAACCTGTGAGCTGTATGCGATGTCGTGAGTTCGAGCCCCACTCCCGGGTCTGGTTTTATCTAGACACAAACCAAAACCCATCCTTCTACTGCAACACAGATAAGCACGATGACATCTTTCCCCAATATCTTTCCCATCCTCTCAAAAGTCAAAAATTATCGCTTATGAATGTTAAGTTAAGTTTCAATTTTAAGAAAATATTTTTGGACATTTTTTGGAGCCAGTTCAAATCTTTTTTTTTCTTTTCTGATTCTTTTCGGCCCGATAAAACCCACTAAAACTGAACGTGCCAAATGAAAAATATCTAATTCAAATAACAGTATAGAAAAGCCTCATCATGCATCATGAAAAGCATCATGCAACTATCGACTGAATAGTTGCATGCTATGAATACGTCCTACATTTCGATTACCTATCATTGTTCAACATTTTGGCTGGAACTGACGCTGCCTCTGGCTTGCCCGTTTGTTTGAGATAATGATTCCCTTCAGTCGCATTTTTGCTGGTTCCACATGAACACTGAACAGGATACCACCATACCGGAGTGAACGCACCCGCAACCATCATCCCCTCCCCTCAGCCTCGGCGCAGTGGCGGGCGGCCCTGGGCGGCCCACTCCCGGCGCTACGCACGCCCCGTGCGCCGTGATACCGCATCACTCCCCTCCCTCCTTCCCCCACAATGACCGGTGACCTCACTTCCCTCGGGATTTGGACTCGCCCTACCCCGACCGTAGCGCCACGTGGTGGCTCTGGAGACCCACTGTACATTTCCGGAATCATCGCATCGAGGACTGGACTTGATGACTTGGAGGCCCTACAGGGTGGAAAGTAATTACGCGAACATACTTTTTCGTCTTATAGCAATGGAAAAAGCGGCGGTGACATGAAAATTTCATCCTTTCATATATTCCTATTTATGTGCGATACACTGACAAAGGCGTTCAGGCATAATCGACATGAGCATGTCAAGCACTGTTGGCCAAAGCTTAGTCCACGCCTCCTGGAGCTGTCTGGTGAGGCAATCGATGTTGGTGGCTACTAGCAGCTCTTAGACGCTGTCCTGAAGAGTCGCCTGGATATTTTTGATCAAATTGAGGTCTGGGCTATTCCCAGATTGACCATTATATGCCCAGAAGAAGAACAGGTTCTCAAAGCACCAGTCTTGCGTCGTTTTGGCCGTGAGAGGAAGGACTTTATCAATCATGAAGAAGAGTTTCTTTGCGTCGGGCACAAAAGTGCGCTCAATCATTTTGCCCCTTTTGGTGCATTGGTGGATAAGATAAAGAGACTCGTCTGGAAGGATGTTCCACTAGTTGAATACTTTATTTTTGGTTGCCTTTTTGGTCACTACATGCAATTCTGACACCATCTGGGCGCTCATAACACGCTGATGTGTGTTCCTTTGCCGGATGTTTGAAGGTTGGGACGGGCGGGACGTCGGACGCATCAGCAGCCCCCAACGCGTTGTTCTGCAGGTTTGACAGATGAAATAGCTTCGAAGATGTCTCACCCAACCACAAAGCCAGCTGCCTGTCCTCCTCTGTTCCGGTTTGCCGGTCTTTAGAAAACTTAAATGGACAATCCTGCTGTTAATTCATGAATTTTGGCCATCTCGATTGTTTGTACGGCTTGATTTTCGAATTTTCACGGATTTATGTATGAATCGTGATAGCTTAGATCGGGTACCCGGCCATAGTAGGTAAACCATTTCGCCTGTTTTCGGATCGACTGTTGTCGTTTGGTCGCGGAAATGGTGACCACCCATTCGCGCCTGAATTCGCCGAGGTTTTACTGCCGCCAACGGCTTTGCTTTTTAAGTCCTTTTAAGTTTTATTATGCTTCAACCAAACGTGTAATTGAGTAATGCTGGTGCCGAGACCGTTCCGAATCCCTTCCGCACCAATCCAGCCAAAATAAACACAAACGCTTTCCCTGGCAACACCAAATTGCGATCTTTGCACATTGTGGTCTTGTGCAGCGTATGGCGTCTGCACCATTCGAAGTCGAGACGTGTTGTAGACCTTCCAAGTCATTTTTCAAAGTAAGGTCACTTTTGGTAGATGAGGCGACAACAAACACGACCAATAATGTTCCATGACAGCCCGCGCTCATACAAAATCTCCACTGACGGGCGAAATTGTAAGAAAATACATGTTCGCGTAATTACTTTCCACCCTGTATATACCTACCAATTTTGAGCTATATTGAAACACCCCGAAATATGCTGGCTGGCGCTGCTGCTGTGAGGCTGATATACGCTGCTGCTGGTTAAACAGACGTTTTCTAACATTAGTAAGTGGATGCCGTTAGCAAGATTACTTTACTACTCGTCGTAAGCAAGATTCCTTTCCGTACTGTGGGCTGTAATTTTCCTCCAAGATTTTCTCTACCAAGGAAAGGTTGGCAGCTTTACCTTGAGACGAGCAAGAGGGAGTAGTGACATTAGTTGGCGCATTCTGATGGCTTGTTTTTACACGTGTTGTGCGGCGTGTGCGGCAAGGCTGAGGCAGGCGTTGTGGGGGTTGTGCGGTGTGTTATTTATATATGTTATTTATGATATAAAGGGTTTTAACGGTATATATAAATGCAATGAAAACCCTAAGCCTCATGCTAATAATTGTATTCAAAATAGGGCCAAGAAAATGAGACAACTGTTTCGTGCATAGCACATCGTCAGGTCTGAAGTAAACAATCATTTCATAGTTTTTAAACGTCACACAAAGCCTGCTCAGTGAATACATCTTCCTTCTAGTTGCGGAATGGTACATACAGTGAGTTATGAATATTAACATATATACACGCAAGTTGTCTGCGCTTGCATTCTAGGAGGAAGACGATTCGTTCTTGAGTGTTTGCTTCTTTGACAGAGTTTTTCAGAGTTTCTATCAGCGCTTGAGTGCGGTTATGCTTATGTTGAATGATGAAAGAAAGCGCGGTTTACCTATTTACCTACAACTTACCAACCTACAAACCTACAACCTAACCTAACCTAACCTTCCTACAAACCTACAACCTAAAACCTACAAACCTACAACCTAACCTAACCTAAAACCTAAATTTTTTGCTGTTACATATTTGTATCAACAGCGTCACAATTGTCCACTCGGACCTAATATATACTAATACCAAATTTTGGATAAAAATGCATCATTTTCACCCAAGAAATGAGATAAGAGGTCATCTGAAAGGCAGCATGCCATAACAACCCATGTACACTTGTTTTGTATTGTTCCCTTTAAAAACTTTTGATGTTAGATGCATGAAAGACTTGTAAGCTTTTCAAAGTCTAATAGCAAAAATGGCATGACATGACAACAAAAACATGATTCTAAGAATCTGACAGATTTTGCTCAACTTTACAGAGACTATGTCAAATTGATGTAGGTATGATTAGTTAGGTACTGAAAGTTTGACATGACCACCTTTGAGCAATGCAAAGATATTTCCAAAATCAGGGAGGAGGCCAGATTCTGCAGTATTCATAATATTCATATAGCAGGCGTCTCACAGTGACATGCTGCCACTCGCTTATGAAAAATTGCTTGACTCTCCAGTCTGCAGTTCTGGAGATAATTACAATAATTTTGCCTATAAAAGTCTGATCTAAATGTCTTACCGAAAAACAATCTAACCTGACCTAACTTACCTACTAACCTATGACTTACCAACCTAAACCTACAAACCTACTATAGGTACATTATACAAGCTATAACCTATGAGCCTATAACCTACAAACCTGCAACCTACCAATGTGCAACCCAAAGCAAAATCCATGTAAATACCTCAAGAACTGGAGAGTCTAGCGACTTTTCACTAGGAGGTGGCGGCATGTGAGACGCCTGTATGATGGCCAAATCTGCCTCCCCCCCAAGCAGAGTATGGTTTAAGTCAAGAGGTACTGAAGTTTCATTTTGATGCCACCCTGTTCGTTACATCATATGTAACATTTGTGAAAAAAAAACTGGAAGGATTCATCTGACTCCACCCTCCTCTTAGTGTTTGAGCCAATTGTGTTGCATTCAAGTAGAAATATAGCATTTCTGAAAGCTAGGTTCCTCAGGGTGGTGACTGGTGACCACCCGGAAGGACCTGCTGGGTGCTGACCACTCATCAAGTGCCTTGTTGGCTGTGGCAAGTGGCAAGCAGCAAGTATACATTTGTGACTGTGTAGTAACTATAATCATGGGCGCCGCCACCGGGGGGGACGGGGGGGACGCGTCCCCCCCACTCTCAGAATGGAAGGGGGACGTCCCCCCCAAACTCATTACGGAGCGAGCGAAGCGAGCGTAGTCTTTCGTAGGTTAGCGGAAATTTCTGAGTATGCCGTGGTCACGCTTTTGCTAGGCTTATATCTCAGCAACCACTTGACCGATTTACATGCGTTAATTTTTGTAAGGTAGCACTAGATTCGTTCCTTTTAACGAGTATCGGACTATTCCCGATGCATGTGAGTGACCCCATATGCACGTGCCACGTGAAAAACGAAGAAGTGTCAGTTAGTTTGTAACAATTTCAATATCTTGGCAACTACTGGGCTGATTGCGCTGAAAGTTGGCAAGTAGGTAGGTATACCGGGTATACCCACTAGGCAATGCATATCCATGTGCCACAGTTGGGGTGCTGCTGCACGTGCGCACATGCAGGGGTCGAATCCAGATCTCGAGAACGGCTGAACCGATTGTGCTGAAATCTGATACATGTTAGGGACCGGTTAGTAGGGTGCCGTGCAAAAGTCAGTTGGGACCCATTTTGCACGTGCGCACGTGCAGGATGCCGCTTCCAGATCTCGAGAACGGCTAGGCCGATTGCGCCTCAAATTTGGCACATCGTTAGGGACCGGTTAGAAGGGTGCAGTGCACAAGTTAGTTGGAGGTATCCCCTCGCTATTTCGCACGTGCAAGGCCCACCCCACCCTCTCGTTCGCTCCGTTGGTCACCCCAAAAGGCGTTTTACTGGTTGTTATCCTACTCGAAATTTGATTAGGCCCTTCGGTCCAATGAGACCATTTCAGAGCAGGTTTCAGAGCCGCAGGTATGAAAGAATTAGTGGGAGACATTAGTCAGGGCAGCCACCCCAGTGAGCCACTTGGGATGAACCCAACCAATTGAACAGGCAGCCCAGCCCACTGGCACTCACTGCACCCGGCAAAGGACTATAGCTCCAGTGGAGCCATTCCCGCATGGGATAGAGTTGCCCGTCCAGCCCGGAACAGGGGGTTGCCGCGTGGAGAAGGATTTGACTGTCCTGAGGATGGAAGAGATGGAACGGCCGGTGCCGAACCTGAGAGGGTCCAGGAGGTTTAGATACTCAGTATATGGGGTGTGGGCCTACATGCATTGGTCTGACCCCTGCCACCTCGGCCAACAAAATCTCCAGCACTTATCCGACCCATGTCATCGCAGAACTGCCGATTTTTGATATCGTGATCAACGTGTGTCGTATAACACGACTGGCCGAACACGGGCCTAATATATTTCGTCCAACCAGCCAAGAACATGACTTTACACCAATCCGACCTCGAAGTCAAAATCCGAACATTTTCGAAGACTTCAACTCCGACTCTGGCCAAAACTGGCCAAAACAGTCAACTCCGACTGATTCCGGCTCCGACCGCACACTTCTGCAGTCACGCTACACTAAATTTCCAGCTTCTAAGAAATAAGCTATACGGTTGACAGGACCACAAAACTTTGAGGCGACTTGACTACTTGACTTGGTTTTCCTGACCTAAGGTTTTCTGGTATCAAGCTTGTTACACGGGCTGCAAAATTCGTATTTTGGAGCAGTTTTGCCTAATGTTTTTTGCCAATTTTCGCGCCCATTCGTGCACAAACCAAAAAGAGAGATTTGTGACTATACAACGCCCCCTCCCCCACGCGGATATGCAATACCTATGCATTATCGATCATATTAGTGGCATACATCAGCAATTATACCGTGATAGAACACGAGGCTTTGCCGTGTCAAACTGAATCGGACATCCATGTGTATATATGTAGGTAGGTGGGGGAAGCCGGGGGAAGCCCGGGCGCGGGGGAAGCCCGGCCACCCCGTTTCCGGCTAAATTATTCACAATAAAATGCTCAACTGTTTGTCCTTTCAGCGTGGCAGCTAAGGTAACGCGAGCAAAAAAGTTAAGGCCGACAAAAAATGCATATTGTTAAAGTTATAGCGCAAAAATGATATTTTAAGGGTTTTTAGCTAAAAAGTGAGATGTGTTGCACTGTTAATGTTATACCATACAGTATGTACTAATATTTATACGAATGTTATGTAAGGACCGTTTAAGTGTTTGTAGTGAGGGGTGACGAGGCAGGCTGGCTTAAGTATGACATTTTTTCGAATATCGCTGTTCTAAAATAAAAATTAGCACATTGGGGTAACCCCGGGCGAGTGGCCAAGCTTACCCCCAACCGAGAGCATGGCCACTAAACCACTGTTTTCCATGAGATAATAGGTACTGAGCATGTTTGGTTTACACCTAGATCAAAGATAAATTTCGAAAATAAACATGTTATCATAGACAAAGCCAGTCATGTCACTTAAGGTCAACTAGGGTCAAACTATGTTTTTGCAGATAACGCGACAGACAATGAAGCTAGAGCTTCAAAAATGGTGTCGTTGTGTTCTTCTTCATCAGCCGAGTCGAATGATATGCAATATGATGCATTAAGGTAAAAAGAAAAATAAATTTTAAGCAATTTTGAAATACACATTTTTTGTCAATTTTGCATCACGATTTTCATCGACCTGTACTGTATATGTAGTAGACGCTAGCTTAAATACCAGTAGTGACATAAACTCTAAGATGTCCAGAGCTAATTAGTACCTTAATATTTCACTTTCCGTTAATATTTGGAAAACACATAATGGTTTCATCAACTCGTTGTAAAGCGCTGGGGAGGTGGCCGGCGTTACCCCTATGCCGGGCTTACCCCAGAAAAATCAACACTTTTTTGAAACTCGATTTTCTCAACCTTATACTTATTCCACGAAACCGAATTTTTGGGAAAACACGGCCAATGAACTTAGCTAGCTAGCAGGATGTCAACATTTTATACAGCACGTATGGTATGTAATAAAAATCAAAAAGAGCTTACTATGCCGGGCTTCCCCCGGCTTCCCCTACTCGGTGGGAATGCGGTCTATAGCCATTACTTGGAAATACCTAAACATGGGTGTCCATTTCCGCCAAGTCGGGGGTGCCCGAGCTCTCCAAATTTCCCGCCGGCTCGGCCAGCTTGGCTTTGGAGCCTCAACAGACCGCGCGGGTCAAGGTCACCGCCGGCGGCGGATTTGCTGCGCCCGGGCACCCCCAACTCGGTAGAAATCGACACCTATGTACCTAAACTACTTTCCTCAAACCAGTTGTTTTGCCACAGTTTTATGAGTTTTTAAACTTAAAATGGTCAGGAAATAATGAATATTTGCAAAAGGATTTTATATTTATTTTTACATCACTATTTTCCATCTTTCGTAGAGGCTACTTACCTATATTGCAGCGGATGCTAATTACGCGTTGACCAAGCATAGTATGTAATTCAAACCAGCTGAATGCTGATTGGCTAGCATTTTTCCGTAAGGGAATGGATTCCTCGGTAAGAGAATGACAAGGTGTAATCTATGGGAATGACTTCAGTCTTCAAACCTAAAATCGATACCGATATATTTGGCTAGCTAGGATGATCGTTGGGCCATAAAAGCTCCTGATTTGTTCTCGTCTCAGCTCAAGCTACAAAACTGTTACTTCAGTTCAAAACCCTATGTTAAAAGTGGCATATTTGCTTTAAACGTTGAATGCATCCGACCGAAAAAGCCACGGTAAGAATGTCTACTTTTGGGTTTTCAGTCGGTCAGTCCGTCCCCCCCCCAGTCAAAAATCCGTGGCGGCGCCCCTGACTATAATGACTGAACAGTGAACACCCTCCTATAAACTGATCAGTCAAGATTATCTGAAAACATCTGAATGGCTACTGGTCTGGAATAGCTCATATAAAACTCAACTGGACATACTAAATAGCAATTACTTTTACTAAGATTGTCAATAGGTTACCTATGAATGTGCAGCATTTAAGAGAATACCCACTTTCCCAGATAATACATTTCTGATTCAAGCAAGAACTCCTCAAAGCCATGGTGCGATTGAAGCATAGGTAAGTGTCAAGTGTAATAAATTATTGTGCATCAGTGTAATTGATGTCAGATGAAATATGTGAACAATTTCAAGCAGGCAGGCATTGCAAATTTTTAGGCTTATGTGTGTTTTCAGCATGTACTGTGCAAATGTGTAACATGCGGTGAGTTCACCAGCATTTTCAGTTTGGTGGTAATTATAGGAAGGTGATGAAAAGTTATTACCTCCTTATTTACACCCAAAGCTCATGAGGACTTCACTTCACTCATGTTTTCAGTTGCTTACAATGCCCAATGTCACTAGCTTTTGGTAGAGTGTTAACTTAGCTGACAAACAACTTGAATCACTCAGGAATGGCACAACTCTTTTTGGCTGGTATTTTTCGGTTAAGCTTATTGTTGCTGGTTTGGCCTGAAGCCCCCAGCAGTGACAATCTAAAATAGTTGCCCAGTCACCTGTTCAAAATCTGTTTCCACCTTCTGCCTCTTGGTCAAGCCATGGTGAGAATGCATAAGCACAGTCTCCAGGTTCCGGCGCAACGCGTTCTCCATTTGCGTTATCAACGACTGGAATATCAGCTACCGCCAACGCTCGTCTCCTCCGATACTCTAAACCAATTGAAAAATCGGCTCGACGCCCACTTGGCACACATCACACACGACACCCCTCACGCAGACGAATAGTGAGACGCACGATAAGCTCGACTAGAAATGCTTATAAAGGGTACAACATATTGAATTATTGTTTTGCCACCCATATATTTTTTCAAATGTAGTAATAGCAACAACTTGGTGCTATGTTTCTTGATAACTACCCCGATGCGAAGGTCGAAAATTCGAAAGGAAAACGATAAACGACTAGTAGCCGAAAAAAACGTAACTTGAATTAAGATGCCAAGTCATAAAAGCTTGAAATCATACCTTTATAAACCCGCGCCCGGCTGTGGGTCCTGGATTTCCACGCCCTGCTGGGGGGGGGGGGGGTGTTTGAACACCCCCCCCCCTTGTAACTCGGCTCCTGGGCCACGTAGCGATACGCGGAAGGCGGCGTTCGAAAGAGCGTCAAAAATAATGACGAAATCACTTCGGTCAATTTTTGGTCAGGTCAAAGGTCAGGTCACCAGAGGTCATTGAAGGCAAAATTTCGCCGATTTCCAGGTCGAATGTCGACAATTTCCAAGAAGCCAACGCATAACTCGGGAACCAATAGAGCTACAGCGCCGCGGAAAAGCGCATTCGATAGCCCTATTAACGCCCTTTCTGAGTAATTCTCTCAGATTTGATCTTACGTCAACGGTTTTGCCTGCAGGGGGCAAAAACTGCAAAAATAGCCGATTTTTTCGAAAACAGTTTTTCTGCAATAACTTTTGACCCAAGCCTTGTACGAGCTTACTTTTACCGGCATCGTGTTCCTCTCGTAAAGACGCATCGAATGAACTATAACTTGACCTTGAAAGGTCAACTTGAAAATTTGACCTCAGGTCAAGGTCATGACCTGACCGGAAAAGGTCATGTTGCATATCAGTCGATCCGTATCGTCGAGCTGAACACATCTAAGGCGTTTTCATCACTCTAGCATGCCTCTATCAAAAGTTATTTGTGAAAAACTGTTAGATACCATTCGTGACCTAAGATGACCTCAGGGCATAAACAAGGGTCACGGACACCATTTTCTGTCTAAACCACTTGTAATTCGGTGTTTGCGAGTGTTTATAATGTCTTTCGTCCAAAAGAGGCGCATTTCAATTTTCTCACATTGACTTATAATGGGGAGGTCGCAAAATTGACCTGACCTTAGGTCATCGATATCAAAATTCTGATATATACATTTTGTACATGCTATTGCTCTTAGCAATCGCTGAAAGTTTCAAAGCGATCGGTCACTCGGTGTAGCTATGACAGACATTGAAACTTTTTATGAGGTGAGGTCACTTCAAGTGACCTGGTGACCTGACCTTGAATGACCTTGGTCTGAAATTTTCACAACATGTGTAGAATTCATGCATGATAAGGTGTACCAAAAACGGCGGCGCTCCGCGCCGCCGTTTTTGAGATATTCGCGAAAAACCACAAGGGGGGTGTTCAAACACCCCCCCCCCAGCAGGGCGCGGGTTAAGGCCCCTGTCCTATCCAAATTCCAACTTCTATGCTTTCTACGTAAGTAAGTCAAGGAGCACTGCCTAAGCTATGGAGGGGAGCATAGACACGTCTTCCAACCAATGAAATCCAGCTTTTACCAATGCTGATTTGAACGGTGACTGCTTTACATAGGTGGAAAGGAACACAGCATTGAAGTTAATTTGAGAAATCACTGACCTGGCCCTCTCGTTCCATCAGGCACTGGCACTGGTGCTCTGTAAATGTTTATAATTGATCGATCATTCCCTCTTCACCTGTGCTTCACCCCTCTTAACAATCGGTTTTCCATAATAGATATTTTGTGCTGGAACTTGCCCCTCCGGGTGAGAAGGCGCACGCCCGCCTGGTTGTCAACGAGGACGCCATCTACCGGGCCGTTCTAGAAGTTGTGGATCAGATTCACGGCGACTATGGCGTTGCAACGGTGCGATCACGGCTAATCGGTACGTGCTATTTAGCGGTTAAGTACTAAGATGTTATTGTTATTCCTTCTAAAGTTGAGTCTTACCTCTTTAAAATCTATGAGTGCTTGCTCCAAATGCAATGACGGTAATTTGGTCGTGCCTGTGTGACGTAATGTGCATCGTTTATGAGCTCATGTCCTGCGTCTTCTGGATGGGAAGTGAGTGGGAGATGCATCGATCTGTAATTTCATTTTCGAAAAGTTGAGACTAAAGCGAAGCACGTTCTGAGACCCGTTTTGACAGCCGTGAGAGGATGGTTCCGCCATCCGCTTTCGTTACCCACCTTATAAGTGTGATGTAAATTAACGTGGGTAGGTCGCGGGCAGATCTGTTGGTAGGTGCTGGTGTAAGCCCTGCTTCGCGTTTCCAAGTTTGACCGCACATGTTCTGTGCCGCTGCTGGCTGGTTGGTGGTACGTGATGCAAGCAAGCATTGCTGTGGGTTTCTGAGTTTGACCGTTCTTGTCCTGTGCCGCTCCCCAGTGAAGTACTGTAACGCCGTCACGCGCGTGGCGTTACTGCGCGTCTCGCACGCCGCCCACCGTCTGCTCGCCTCAGCCCTGCCATTCATGACGTCATTAGAGGGACAGCCAATCACTCCGCGTACTCTGTACATGGGAGCCACCATCATGCACTGCTTTCGGTTCCTCAAGGTGAGCTATGACTTCGAAGTTCGATTGAGCATTAACCGTACGGCAGCATTCTGGCTTGTTACTAGAGCAGTTTATCATTGCAGTGCCATGCGTGGCCATTCTTAAACGTGCATATTGAATCACTGGAGCGGTCTGCACTCGGGCTCTGACCCGCCCGACCGTCGATGGTCCCCGTGCGCTGTGTCCTCCGCCCTGCTGACCACCGGCTCCACCGCGCCCCGACAGCGGCACCAGGAGAGCCATCTAGAGGAGATGTGGGCGTCGGCCGACCCGCACCGGCGCCACCAGATGCGCGAGGCCATCATGGCCCTAAAGCTGCCGAATATCGCCGAGACCCGCGGCCTGCCCGGCGTGTAGGACGGCAGAGGGCGCCACCGTCTTTCATTGGCTCATCAGAGACGCTACTTGGTGAGTGTTAGCCAGTCTCAGCCACATCGTGTCCGTGCTTGTCATGCTGATGACTCATAATCATCCCGCCACCCGGCCTGTGCTGTGTCGAATTATTTGTTGGCGCTTGTTGCCGGCACTCATCTTGTTGATTACTTTCGAACTGCCGAATGCTGTTCGATCGCAAAACAATACACGTACAAATGGACACATCTTTGAGTGCCGTACTTTTTTAATCTTCACTTGAAGTCTTTACTTCACGTCACCTTCACTTGAGATCATCAAAATTCGTGCCGTTGCGTGGAAAGTCCAGCAAATTGCAAAATGTTTACACGATACACGGGTCGCATTCTGACATCAGAATCGCTTGCACTGCTCTAGTTGTTTATTTAGGCGGCTATCCAAGGCACCTGCATAACGTTGGGCCCCCCTTTGTTTCCTCCAGTTAGGCAGAGGCGCATACTTTTCTATTGTATGCTCTCGAACATCCTGGCGTAAATGTGACGTACAAACTGGGATACGAAGTATACAATTATTCTGGACGTGTAAAACACTCTCAGTGGACCACACACACTCACACATTTAACTCGTACGCAGTAGAACATTGCACATGTCCACGCCACAGCCACGCGTAGACAAAACTGGCATCCAAACACACGAGGGACGGCTTTACCGACACGGACCGCGCGGGACTGGCAGCGAGCTGCTGTTCGGCGGCCGTGCGCACCGACCCAACCGCTGTCCGTGGAACACTCAGCATATGACCGCCGACATATGACCTGTCTGTGGTGGTACAGCACCGACGAACTCCTGCTTACACGCCAGTCACCGCGACACACAGGCGATCCAGTCACCTCCCATTTTTCTGACACGCCGCTGAGATTGGTCCACTCCACAGTGGAGAGAAGAACGATTGACGTCATCTCTGTCCTAGCCCTTGTAATGATTGTAATAAAGACCTGTTCTATGCGGGAACGAATGATTGCTAAGTACAACGCGCAATTGAGTTCTCCAGGTAAAACACAAGGTAGATCCACCTGTTAATGAAAAATGGTTAAGTTATGTATCAGCTCTATTGCTCAGCCTCTTTTAGCGTTTATGCTTTTCAAATCACCCGGCATGGTTCCGCGGACGTTTGCCTTCTCTGTGTTATCTGTCCCAGTGCCAGCTACGACCAGCGAGTGGTTCGCAGCTCGTTGCCGGTTCGGGTCGGGTCGGGTCAGGTCACACGGCAGTGGGCGGCGCTGAGGGGAAGCCGTCGCCCCTTGTGGACGCGACCGTCACCAGGTCGGCTTTACTCGCCGCTCCCGACTCCAGCTCGAGCCCTTCGTTGAAGTACTCCGGGTCCGGCTTTGTGTACAGCGTCGGGTCCGGCTGTATTGCGTTCATCAGGCGCTGTCGAGGCACAACACGGGGAACGTTAAGATGGCGCAAAAACGCTGTGTCATACTCGCTACATCCCGCAGCCATATTGCAACTTATCTTTTTGATCCCCAGCATAAGTATTTTTATCTCCTAAAAGAAGATACACCGTGTCCCTCCGGCTTCCGATGACTATTACTACTACGCTAATGGCTTGGCTCGTGCCGCAGCCTCAGGCGCCAGGACTCTGACCGCAGTGCAGCTGACATTATCCGTGGGAGACGGCGGGGCCCGCCGACATCGATCCCAATCCACAGGTAGTCGCGGCGTGCGGCGACCGAGCCTGGTCCCAGGGCTCTGTCGATGTCGGATCGGCACGGGGAGGGAGGCGGCGGTCCCAGGTCGATATGTGTGGAGCGCGCCGCGGCACTGTTTCCTGGTACTGGGTGTCTCACGTGCCGGCGCACGGGAAGCTCACCTGCCACGGGGTGCTGCCGGTGGCCTGGCACAGCGCGACCACGGCGCACAACGGTATCGGCAGGATAGAGAGCGAGGCCAGGAACCAGCCCAGCCGGATGCCCCACTCCGGGTAGTGGTAGCCGTCGTAGCTGGGCCGCTCGTAGTCGATCAGACTGAAGATCCAGATCGCCTGGGAGGTCGGCGGGAAGGAACGCGGTCAGAGGACGGCGCGGCGTGTCCACCACGGCAGCACATGAAGGCAAACACGGCAACACGGGCTTCAAACAGGATCGCACGAGTGTCTGGGTGGTACTTCATCGATCGGCGGAACGTGTGTTTAACAGTTAGAACATCATACAGACGCGCGAACCAGCTGGCTTATTGACGTGCTAATCGGAGACTGAAGTCTACCTGGCAACATCGCCAACATAGCGGTCGGTGGGTTATTCCGTCACTACCGTCCGAGCTTAGTGTCTAACCGCCCACACCGTCCGCGTCACGACCTCACAGCCTTCTCACCAGTATGAGGAACGGCGCCAGGAACCTCCAGCACACCTGGAAGTAGACGAGCGGCCGGGCGCCGGTCATGGCCGCGTAGTCCCGGCTCAGCCGCTCCGTGCCGTACACCCACGTGACGGCGATCACCTCGAAGAACGCCAGGAACATGAGCGATATGCCGGCCACGTAGTAGTCCATCAGCTGAAAGACGAACATGCCTCCCTGCGGAGCGGCCAGAAGGGGACGGTTACCGGCGGCGTGTGCCGTGTGGTGCGGTACCAGCGGCGCGGCGGCGGCCGCCCATACCCAGAATGAAACAGGCAGGCTCTGAATGGAATGCCGTTTCACTAGCCCATATGGTACATAATTACTAAATACGCTAATTCTACTATGCTTGGTACACCAGCTCCTGCATTGAGCAGTCTCAGATTCAATTAGTCGAAATATGTTTTATATGTTTCTAATGTTTGCCCTTGTGTAATAACATTTCTGAACGCGTTGTGCTGGTGCATTTCTCGTCAGAAAACAAACATCGTTCTATTCAGCGCATTGTCTACTCTTTCCATTGCTGCTGTAGCTAATTCATTTGCGCCAGAAACCATTGGCCTTTCTAATTCAGCGCTCCCGTGTCGTTGAGTCGTGTCTCAGAATATATTCGCCATAGTTGAAACTCACCGTGAAGTAGCACAACTGAAAGGCCGCGCACGTTTTAGGTCCCAAGAGCTTTGGGAGCAGCTCAAACCAGCTAGCGATCACGTGAACTCCAGGCGGTCCACCTCCCCAGAGCAGGTGCCACCTCTGGGCGGTGTGACCGCCCGGCCGGCGCTGCCTCCACTGACCTGCATCACATGAGGTAGACCGAGCACGAACGAGACGAAACACATGAGCAGCACCAGCACCTCGTGACGCTTCAGATAGGCTTTGATCCACTTGCCGTACGCGTCCTGAAGCGTGGTGATCACCACTTCCAGCGTCGCAAACTGACAAGAGGGAGGGAACAGGTCACGTTTTAGCAGAACGTGACAATGTAACTCTGACGGCACACATGAATATAATATCGCTCTGTAATGATGCTGTCCGTGCGATCGTAATGAGTACACTGGACTCTGTGACTCATGATTCAATAAGCACTGTATTAGGCCGTCAATTGGCGCGATCAATAGAGGCTATTGGCAGATCACACCAGGCTCCTAGAACTTACGCACCGGCCGTGCTATTTCCGAAGCAATCACGGCTGTACATTGTGAGTGTGCAATGTCGGCGTATGGGGACGACTACGTTGTACTTCATGCTGGGCTACGTGCCTAGCGTATTTGTTTTTTCAAAGCGCTATCTAAATGTCAATTATGATTTATCTGCCTTTTCATTCCATTGGATGTGGCTATCCACTATACACACTCCTTTTAATATTTACACTCCTTTTAATATTTAAGTAGCTGTGCTCTCGGAGTTTAACTACAAGCTATGCGTGGAGGCTGTACCTGGCTGTCCAAACCCAAGCAGAGCAGCATGAAGAAGAAGAGGAAAGCCCACAGCTGAGGGACGGGCATGCCGGCCAGCGCCTTCGGATAGATCACAAACACCAGCCCGGGACCTGTGAACGGATCGTACGGTCGTCAGATCGTCGTATCGTCAGATTGTACCTGTGTTATACACTAACTGCTCAGCGGCTGCGGAAATAAACCGGACGGATCGGAGAAGTCCAGTCTTGGTCCAGTCCAGTGGTTTGATGTTACTTGTGCGTTATGATCGCACCTAGGATTCTGCTGGGTAAAATTAATACATGAGGTTTGGTTGCTTTCCGCCCGTACCTATATGTACCAGTGATGACCATGGAAACGAGATCATGAAATTGCAATGCACTTGGGAGATAAGCAAAGATAGCATAGGCGTACCGGCAGTGACGACGTCCTCGATTTTGCTCTGCAGCTCATGGGCGATGTTTCCCAGCGTGGCGAAGACGATGATGCCGGCCAAGATGCTGGTGGCCGAGTTCAGACAGCAGATCACCATGGTGTCCAACATAATGGACCGGTTGTTGACCTTGTTGTAGCTGGCGAACGCTATCATCGATCCGAAGGCGATGCCGACCGAGTTGAAGTTCTGCGCGGCCGCGTTCACCCACACCTGCCGACAGTGGCGGGTGGTCGTCTACCGCCCTTTTCTCTATGCACACGTTCACCATACAAATGGAAAATTGTGACGTGAACTTCAGAGAGTTGCCGTGGAAACTTATCCGTCTTTTCTTGGCGATGTGCGACCATCAAGCCGAGTAAGACATAGCCGTGCATTCCGATCTGGTTAAAAATGGACACCATTTATCCGCGGATGATCGATGTCCGTTTGGACATAGTTGCCATTGATTTATTGACGGCGTCCTGATGGCGACAAACTGTTCCATTGTGGTGCTGAAGGACTGTCGGACACGCTCAATAGCGTTCGCCACTCGCGCCGAACCTATCCTTTTCCCCTGACAAGTCCTGTGTGCGTGAGCTCACTGTGGAGCGTCCCGGCAGACCATCCTAGTGATCGTTATCGCGAACAATGCGTAGGAATACACGCGTTGATGCGATGGAAAATCACGCTCCGTGACATTAAAATCAAGACAGACACAACACCCATTTCGTTAATTGTTTACACACACAAACCATGTGCTCTGCTAGCAAACAGCTTTGCTGGCTCATTGTTGCCACAAGTTCTGGTAACGTCCGGCTTCTGGTACGATGAGCAATGATTTCCTTCTCGGTACGAATATCAATAGTTGACACTTGATGGTAATTGGGCAAACCATCACACTAATATAATACTAATAATAATTATTTATTATTATATAATAATATTTTATATAATAATAAAATCGTTGGGTGCTTGCCTTGGCATCTTTGAGCAGTTCCCACCGGGGCTGGAAGAGGAAGCGCAGTCCGTCGTAGGCCCCCTCCAGGGTGAGCGCCCGCCACAGGAACACGGCGATCAGCACGTACGGCGTGATGACCGTGAAGTAGACCACCTGTGGGCGACACGGACCGATCAGCTGGGGCACGGACTGGTCAGCTGGGCGCCCGTCACCTGCACACGGCTCCAACCGGCCTTATCGTGGGTGCCGAGGCCGTGTTTGCAGTGGGTTCAGTCTCAACAAAAGTGACCGTGAACGCCCCTTACCGCCGGGCCGAACACTGTTCGGGACCAGTTTGACTAGTTTCCACCGAGCGGACTGAGAAAGTGTGAATATCCCTCCTAGTTCCTACCGGTAGGCTCTTGCTAATTAGTGTTGATAAGCAACTGACACGTACTACTTTCGCTCCTAATTTTAACGCTGGAGACATAAATTGCTCAAAGCGATGTCCACGTTTGGTCGTCATTACAATTAACATCTGTCTGAGGTGCAGGTAAGACAGGATCGGTGCCTTTTACGCCATCAGACTCGACATTTTTTACAGTTCATGTGGCGTAATGGTTGTTCAGTGGTTGGCTTAACGAGTAGCAAGGGAATCGAGTGGGCGGCAGAAACGGTGCACCTGCACTATGCATTTGAAATTTAAATGATCTCAGCATATGGGAAGACTTACTTTGCCCGACGACTTGACGGATTTCCAGAGGGAGAAATACACCAGTATCCAGGCCAGCAGGAGTGTGAGGAAGATTGGCCATCGCATTGAGCCGATCTCTTCTATTCCCCCCGTGATCTGAAGAACATTGTGGCTGAAAGCAATACAAGCAGTTCGTCAGAAGCCGGCTACATGTTCCCCAGTCGTTGGTCGGGTTGTGTACCGTATAACTGTCCTTCGTTTGCGATATGTTACCTATTTTGTAAAGTTTAGCTCTCTCGTCTGACGTCAGTCCCCGCTCGACTGCAGCCTTGGTCACGGTGCTTTCTCGGCGTCGGGCAATTACTGAGGTGATTTTGCTTCGACTAACCCATGACTCTCGTTCGAATATATGGAGTCAGATCTTTATAAGACACGGTTCAATGATTACGACCGATAACACAAAGATGTCCATGCTACTGCGAAATCTTCCAGCCCAAGAAAGCAGGACCCAAAGGATAAAACAGTGGCAGACATCAGCCCCGTGGATATAATAGAAAGGCCCAATCATTTATAGGGGCCCAATAAAGAGGAAGATATATCGTGTTATTCTATAAATGTACTTTATGGGCGCCTTCGACGTCGACGTGCCCTTAAACCACAACAAACAATAACTTTATTTTGACCACAGACCCTGACGTGAGAGTCGGCAGTAGCACGCACTGGCCGAACAATGGGATCGGCGCCATGGCAACCGCCGACATTCGCAAATCGCAGCCACAACAGCGGCGGCCGCGCCGTGCAAACCACACTTCGCTGCGTGGTGGCAACGCCATAAGCCAAGGTGACGACCGATTAATACGTGTGCACGTGAAAGACTGTAAGGTGCAATAGATAGACGTATATGGATGGAACGTGTCATTGTTAGCAGTTGGCATTGATTTTAAGGCTGCAATAGGGTAAAGTGGTAAAACTTTGCCCGCAATGTGTTGCTTGAATTGCTCGATTTTGTGCAGTTTTCTAAAAACAGGCATCATAAATGGTGTCTCTGCTGGTGTATGCCTACCATACTTCGGACATAGCGTCGTATGAATCCTAGGAACTAACTGTCTACCGGCTAGCTTGCGTATCAGCGCCGACTGCTGTGTGTCCAAAATGCAAAGTAGGTACTCAATAGTTGATGTCGTCAATGTCATTGATGTCAATGTCATATGTCATTGATCGATGTCTAACTTACATCCACAATTGCGCTACCGAAAGTTGCATGCAATTTGATAGGTGTAAGTAGTCTGCTAAGTGTACCTACAGATGTATAATGTTCAACATTGGTACATAGGCGCGGGAGCCGGGGGGGCAGTGGGGGCAGCTTGCCCCCCCCCCCCAACTCTGGGGCTGTGGGGGCGGTGCCCCCACAGCTTTGAGACGGAATACCACACTTTTTTTGCAACCTTTGTTTTCTTTTTGTCGAAAAAGCCGAGGGGTGAAAAATAAGTGGCCTAAAACCGGTGAGAAAACTAGATTTGGGGGTACCCTAGGTTGATCTCTTTTATGGTGTGCCCCCCCCAGGCGGAAAGTAGTTCCCGCGCCCCTGCATTGGTACACCGTACACGCAGTGGCTTTTCTCAAAGCTCTGGTCGTTGAGCTCGCCATACCGAGCGTATTGATTTGCTGTTTGCATATAAATAGATAAGCAGGCATAGAGGGCTAGAGCTTGTCCTACTGTAATGAACATTGAAACATTCGTCAATTAACCATTCCTTTCAAATCGTATGAAAGAAAGGCCAGCTTTTGTTGTTTAGGTCACGAAGTGTTCAATTGGTACCGTTGTATCAATAAAAAGCATTTAAAGCATAGGATATACTCAAAGTTTAATTGTAATTGTAATGTTTAATAGTAGGTGAAGCTTTAATCCTCGCCCCGTAGGGCCATTGATGGACCCTGCCCGCTGTAGCGGGAGGGGCCGATTAACCTGCGCCCCAGTGGCGGTCTCAGCCAACTTCGCCCTAGTGGGGGGGGGGGGGGGGGCCATATGTTACCACCCACCTCTAACTCAAAAACTAAGAGGGCTAGAAAGACGCGGTAAAAAGCAGTCGATAGCTCTCAATGCGTACGTTTGAAAGTATTTCGGTCATTTTTCATCTTAGAGCAATATTGGGGTCACTGCAGGTCAGCAAAGGTCATAATTTGCTAAATGTCATTATATTTTTCAGTAAACATGCATTTATCTCAGAAACTATGATAGCTTGAAAAACGCATGGAAAAGCAATCGATAGCTCTTGAACTCTTCTTTCGATAAGGTCATAATCAAAATTGACCTCAGGTCAACGGTTTAGCCTCCAGAGGGCAAAAACTCCAAAAATAGCTGTGTTTATGAAAAGTGTTTTTCGACAATGACTTTTGACTAAAAAAAGCCACGACATTTCTATTGCCAGAATCGTGTTCCTCTCGCCAAGACGCGTCGAATGAACAATAATTTGAACTTGAAAGGTCAACTTGAAAATTTGACCTCAGGTCAAGGTCATGACCTGACCGGAGAAGGTCATATTGCATATCATTCGATGCGTCTCAACAAGACAAACACAATGAGGCCATCCCCAGCGTCCTATATCTTTCCAATCGAGACTTATTGGCAAAAATCTGTTTGTAGTCTCAAATGACCTCGGATAACCTTTCTAGAGGCTATCAGCAAAAAAGACACCATGGTCGTCACGGGTGGTCTAAATCATTGTGATTCTGAAATGTTTGGACTGTTTCTATGCGTACACACGGATCTAGAGGCATTTTCATTTTTCTCCATTGACTTATAATCAGGGATGCGGAGCCGTGGAAATTTCAGACGGCTCCGGCTCCGGCTCCGGCTCCGGAGAAAAAAATCGGCTCCGGCTCCGGCTCCGGCTCCGGGTGAAATGTTATGGCGGCTCCGGCTCCGGCTCCGGCTCCGAGTAAAATGGTCCGGCTCCGGCGGCTCCGGCTCCGGCGGCTCCGGCTCCGTCTCAGTACATCCCCTCCCAGCCAGCAATTTTGCTCCGGGCCCAAGCAGGCTCAAGTTCGGATTGCCCGAGATTTTTAGTCGGGCTAAAGTCGGCTGGGGCTTGGGCTAAAGTCGGCGTATGACACAAAAACGCCGACTAAAGCCCATGCTCTGCCGGAGGTATGCCCGCTCTGCGAGCTCCGGACAGCCGTAGCTTAGCCCTAGTTGAGCGACGATTGGCGTTAGCCCGATTTAAGCCCGAGCAGTGAATCCATTTATATAATGGAGATTACTCTGGGCCCGAGCGGGCTGAACTCCGGCAAGCCCACTCTGTGTGCCCTGTCTATCCCGACTTAAGCCATAGAAGTGAATGGGGTTTATACATTGCAAACTGCTGTGGCTTTGCTCGGGTTCGGCTCGAGTGACGGCTCCTGTTTTCTCAAGTCTCGACTTGACTTCATCTTGCTTTTGCTTCACACTGGATCAAGTAGCAAGGAGCAGCCAATGCACTTTCAGCAGGTTGTGCGGTTTCAATGCATATTTAACATTGTTACGGTCACTCATATGCTCTGTTAACCGGTCATCGAGGCTCGAGCATTGCAAAAGGAAAGTAGTGGTTGACTTTGATTGAATGTATATTTCAAACGACTACAAACACGTCAAATGAAACACAAATACATGAAACAGTGGACTGCAAACTGCAGCAGTAATATGGCATGAGTCATGAAAAAACGCCATCAAAACTATAAAACAATCACAAGGCCCGCTAGCCTCCCTCCCCGTTCATAATACTTGGTTAAGCACTCAACCGAAAGCATAAAGTAAGGACAGCAAGTAATCGCTCATAAGACATAAAGCAATAAGCAAACAATCGTTTATAAGGAACTTCACTCTGGTGAATGGGAGCTTTGGAGGCGTCTGGCTCCTCCACACACACACATCTGCAGTAGGTGGCCGGCCAGTTTTCGGCGCAGTTTCCGTATAACTATGTACATAGGTATACCTACTTAATTATAAGCAGGCAGTTTCCGCTAAACCACTTGGCGAGGGCGACTGCGGCGTCCACCCGGTCCTGGTTTGTATAACTATTTTATTTTTTGAACCATTTGCTCTAATGGTACGTACCTGAAAAAGAGATTCATTGGTTTAATTTACATTGCATGTTTGCTTGAAAAATAACTTATTGATGCATTAATACTGTAAAAGCACTTCTCATTGATCCGTATAAAATGTTCCTTTGATTTTAAATGCGGACAGAGAATGAGCGTGCTCGGTGATAAGTAGATAAATATTTGTGTTTCGTATTTCATTTTCCTGGGTCAGAAGTGCTGGTATTTCACAAAGATATAAAGGCACGGAATGCAGCTTTTCTGAGCGAGGGTATGAGTCGCCAGGCTGAACAGCTATTCAGCTTCATGTTTGATGGTGTGAAACTCAGTCAAAATCATGACGTTTACATACGATCAAGCGCACCATTCAATACACTTACCTACCGTAAAACTCCATGCCAGTCCACTTGATAAGAGCAGTGAGCACTATCCCTTTTTCGCGCTCTCACACGCGCCCAAACATCAACCACCAAATGCCCCAACACCGGTGTGTCGTTTCGTCGCACAGCGCGCAGACTGTCACAAACGCTGCACATGATTGGCGCAGAACTGCGCATGCGCGAACAGCCGAACAAGTATGGCTAAGCTCCGGCTTTACTCCAGTTAGCCAAAGGACACAGCCAGCTTGATCAGCCCGCGCTCCGCCCAAGTTAAGCCTGTTTTGGATGCGCGGGCAGATGTCGGGCTGAGCTACTGCTATCCGCACGTGGGCATAGCTGCGGCATGCCCCCGCTCAGCCCTAGTAAAAAATACATTGGTTTTGATCAAAGTGGGCAAACCCAAGCTAAGCCCAAGCTGCCCGACGCTTGCCACAGTTCAGCCCAAGCGAATTGCTGGCTGGGCTATGCAATCGATTAAATACGGGTGGAAGAAAAATTGGATTGGTACACGTTGCTTCTGTATTTGCATAACAACTAGCCACTAAGGCTATTTTTCTCAACAGGACTAGGAACAAAGGACTAGGAAGCGATAGCATTGGAAACGCAGTCGCCGCGAATCGGAGTTCACTGAACCATCGTAAGCTGACACCCGTCTCAGCTGCATTGGGGGGTGGGGGTGGGGGTGGGAAGAGACGGTGCTGGGAGTCGCAGTCCACTGCACTGGCTTAAAAACAATGGCCGTCACCTGATGACCGGTCCTCATGTTCTGGGGATGCAGTAGACGTTGGGGGGGGGGGGGAAGAGCAGACAGGAAGTTCATTGCGTACTGTGGGATACTGGGGATATTCGGCTTTTTTCATTCACTTGATGGCCCATGACGTACTATATCTCAAGATAAGGTCCCAGGCGACCTGTAGTTTTGATGCGGTGAATACCATTGCCCTCGCCACAACTCGGGCCGAGTGCACCCCTCCTCCCAGCCAGCGCCACCCCCACTCGAGTTGTGGCGAGGGTGAGGTATTCACCGCATCAAAACTACAGGTCGCCTGGGCTCTTATCTTGAGACCAATAGTACCATATGTTTTACTGCTTTGTACTGTCAAACCGAACTAGGTCAATTATTTTTTTCCTCTTCAAAAAATAAAAAGGAGCCGGAGTCGCCCCTTTTTTGGCGGCTCCGGCTCCGGCTCCGGCTCCGGGCTATATTGTTTCACGGCTCCGGCTCCGGCTCCGGCTCCGGGCAAAATATGCCGGCTCCGGCGGCTCCGGCTCCGACTCCGGCTCCGGCTCCGCATCCCTGCTTATAATGGTAAGGTCACGCCACTGGCCTGACCTTAGGTCACGGATATAAAAAATCCGAAATGTACAAATTATAGGCGCCCATACCATTATGTAATCCACCAAGTTTCAAACCTTTCTGACAAACATTGCACGCTGGAGAGGATTGAAACTTTTTTGAGGCTTGGTCAGTTAACTTAACCTGGTGACCTGACCTGACATGTCCTGGGGTCAAAAATTTCACATATTGTCCAAAATTGATGTACAAAAAGCTATCCCAAGCGGCCGCCGCCGCGATTTTTTATTCACACGCAAAAAACGCGACAGGGTGGTAACATATGCCCCCCCCCCCCCCCACTGCTGGGGCGAGGGTTAATTGGCCCCTTTATCTCCAAGGCCTCGGCGGATTTTCAAATTTTGAATTGCTTTGGATAGCCCTTTCAAAGATATTCCAGTCGACCCAGTTTCATTGACCTCTGTGCTACCGATGACGTCACAGGTCAGGTTAAAGTAGATTTTCAAACAAAACGTTTTTAAAACCTGTTCATGTAACGATTTTGTTTAAATGATTTAGGTATTATTAAGGTTAATAAGATATCTTGCTCTCAGTTGTTTTCGCGGCACGTTTCCTGTACAGTGTATGTACACTTACAGTGTAGGTACACCAAAAAATGTCATATCCCGCGCGGACTGTGAGCACCGTGCGGCGTGCCGTTTTGTTGGCTCGTGCAGGTCAGGTACTCACTAGAAGTACTCCTCGGATGGCGTGGTGACGTTCTTGGCCAGCGTGACGTCCGCCGCCGACGCGTCGTGGCACGTGGCCGTGTTCCACGTGTTGTTGCAGCTCGCCCACGGAATCTGGCTTTGGAACGAGGCGAACATGTAGTAGAGCGCCCAGGCGATGACCACGTTGTAGTAGGAGCAGAACAGGAACGAGATCACCACCGTGGCCAGCCCGGCGCCTGTCGCACGGCCACCAATCCGCCGTCACAACTCAGACGCCAGTCAGCGACAGACTACTCCGGCGATGGCGACGGCGTATCTGCCACCAATAACGAAAGTTCTTGTGCTTTTTACTTTTATGAGCGACGAAGATAAAAAGCTCAAATTGCTCACGAGACTGGCCAAATCCAACTCAATTACGAATTAATCGTGAAGGAACACTGCAGTCCCATTATCATAGCGAACTCCAACTGTAACTCAGTAGCACCGAGCCTGACTGACCTTTGAAGAGCGGGCAGAGTCGCGCCATGGCTCCGACGGGGCCGCGCTGAGTGAACTGACCCACGGCCAGCTCCATCAGCAGCAGCGGAATGCTGCACACGAACATCATGATGTAGTACGGAATCAGAAACGCACCTGAAAAACAGCCACGCAACCGGCGCCGTCAGCGCAACAAACAACGTACAAACTTGACAATTAGACGTCTTTGCTGAACATGTTTTGATTTGATTTTCCCGCAACATGTCAGTAATCGTAAAACCTCAAAATAGGTTAGCACTGAATGGACTAATGATAAATGAGTCAAGTAAAAGTAGCATTAATGTGGCATTTCTTAATTTGCTTATTTTATTTCATTTTTAATTTTATTCGGAGCAATAATGCGCGCATAATACAGGTCAGTATTGCTGTCAAGAGACTGTTGCTCTGGTTGTAAATATGTTTGCGCTTTCGCAAACATAGCGGTATACTAGTATCCCTGACATGTGCGGAAGGTTACAGGACAATTTGCCGAACTGCGTGTTGCCGAATGCTTATTCACCGAATTTCAATATGTCGAATGCATTTTGCCGACGTGTCTTTTTGCCGACGTGTCAGAAAGGCGAAGTGCTAAAAGTCGAAATGCAATTTGCCGACATGCCTTTTTTGCCGACGTGCAGAAAGTCGGAAAGGTAAATTTGCCGAAATGCTTATTTGCGGAATTGTCAATTAATCGAAATGTCAATTTGCCGAAAAGTCAATTAGTCGAATTGTCAATTCGTCGAAATGCCAATTAGCCGAAATTAACCTAACCTAACCTAACCTTAGATTAGGTTAGTAACCTAGGTTTGCAGATTGACATTTCGGCAAATTTACATTTCAACTAATCAACATTTCGGCAAATCGACATTTCGGCAAATTTACATTTCGAGTAATCGACATTTCGGCAAACTGCCAATTCGACAGATTGACATTTCGGCAAATTGACATTTGGGCAAATTTACATTTCGGTATACATTTCGACTAATTGACATTTCGACTAATCGACATTTCGGCAAATAACATTTCGGCAAAAAGGCATGTCGGCAAATGGCATTTCGACTTTTAGCATTTCGACTTTTTGACACGTCGGCAAAAAGCACATCGGCAAAATGACATTCGGCAAATCGCCTTTCGATAATTTGTCTGGACACCTGTGCGGAAACCGCCAGGGATTGGCTGGAATACCATTGGCTGACACGAGACTCACCTCCGCCGGAGTTGTAGCACATGTACGGAAAGCGCCACAGATTGCCCAGACCCACGGCGTAGCCCAGGCACGCCAACACAAACTCGATCTTATTGCTCCAGTTTGTCCTCATCTTGAAACAGTTGGGTCTTGTTAAGCCTTACAGAGTTGGTCCCTTCAAAGTAGTGGAGCACTTGACTCCTGAAATGAAATACAAAACGTCAAAATAAAAGCATGAATGGATAAAATGTGTTTGAGCATTGTTGTCCTCATTGCTCACGAAGTGCGAAAAGAACATCAGAAAGGGCTTAGTTTGACTTTAGTTTGTGAATAACTATCAGGTAGAGTTACATTGAATAAAGTAGGAATGATCATGCACTGCTGGCTGCTGCGTTGAAACCTACCCGCAATATCTCCGAATAAACGCCAATATAAGAAATGAAAAACTGCAAGGAATGGCCTCGATCCAAACGAGTAAGATTAGTTGAATTTATTTTACAAAGGTACGCTATCCAATAAAACGAAGTAATTTTAGTTACATGCGGAAGCTCGTGGCAGCCTAATTTACTTCAGAAAATGTTTTCCTTTTTCGATAAAGTTATTGACCTCTTGGACACCTAACATTGATTTGAAAAGCTCGTCCTTAACTGCTATTTACCTAACTCAAATTGTATGAATAGGTGCACCCGGTGCACCGGCGATGTCTTCCCATGCGTTTAACTTTGAGAGTGCATTAAAAAAAAATGGGGCACGATTTTCTCAGCTCAATCATGTTTGTTTACGTGACTACATAGTTGAAAATGGGCTAAATTCGGGTTTGCTGCGAAACGGTTGCTAAATCTTCTCCAACGGAGTGCGTACCTTTCTAGTAAGACAGACATCCTAACATCGGAAACGTAAACGGCAAGAAGCAAAACTCGTCAAGCAGACTGTGCGTTATACTGAAACATTAATGCGGTATCGGTCAACATGAAATAGGCGATAGAGGTACAGTACCCTTCTTTTTCATCTTGCACCCTGACAAAGTTGCCAGCTCTGACTTAGTGCGGATCTTTCTTCTGAGTTCTGTATTGCTTTGGTCGACCGACCATAGATCTCTGGCTCGACTAACATGTAGCGCTCATGTCAGGCCCTTAGGGCTTAGAGGGATCAGAGGATAAGTAAAACACTGGGCTGGGACAACCACCACTTGTTCGGCTCCAGTCCGTCCCAAAGGACGGGACGCAGACTACTGAGCCGCGGGGGAGTTAACTCCGATGGAGCTGCCTCACTTCAATCACCGAAACTGTTGACCATCCCACCCGGAGCACGAGGAGAATGATCGGGTTGGCGGCCGGACAGGATGATCATACAGATAAAAAGCCGCACCACCCTGCTTAAAGGGACCCTCCCACCTTAACATTAGATTTGAGTTGAGATAGCCAAATTGGTGGCCATGGCCTAAAAATACCGGTTTGGGCACTCACAACATCGAAAAATGCTTTAATTCGGAGATATCGAATTTCAAACTTGCAGTTTTCGGATTCTAAGGGGCTAATGCATTGGTATGCCCCCTTAGAATTTGTGACGTCAGCGGAGATCTAACGATTTTAAATCTTTTACTAAAACGTTTTGGTAGCACGCGGTGGTATATGCTGCTTTGCGCGCAACAAATGCCGCACTTTCAAATAAAGTCGCTAGGAACAGCGGAGATCCCAAAAAGTAAACAAAAGTAAAAGTCTAATATCTTGAAAACCGGTGAATATTTTTCGATGAAATTTGGTAGATATTCGTTTTTGCTCTTTCTGAACCGAGCGACATCACTTTCATGCCAATTCATTAACTTTTTTGAAGGTGGGAGGGTCCCTTTAATTAAAAGGAATTCCTTCGGTCACAGCTGCCACCCTGCAGCAATTCAATTACATATTACGGCTGTTGAATTGCTTTTTAAATGATGAAATTTCTAATAGTACGTGAACAATTGCTTTTTGAATGATTATGAACACAATGCCTATACTACCACGTACTTACGGCATATTTACGTCTGGACAACGAGTTGCGTTGGAGAGGCCGGAAATAGTGGCGATTTCAGGACCGCAAGAATGGACCGTCATTGGAATGATTCTTTTTTAAACCGTGCACTGTTTTCGGCCGGAATTTAATAGTTACTACAAAATGTTTTGTGATTACGTTTCCAGCAAGAATGAATGCCATCAGGGCTAAATTTTTACTACTTTTGCATTTTGTCAAGAAGCATATAGTGCTGTTATATTGCAGTTTTAGCGCGTTTGTTACAAAATATGAAGCGAATAAGTGTCAGTGTAATTCATCAGTGTCAGAAATTGACTTGAGGGGAAGCTATGCTAATTGCTTTTGTCCATCCACTAGAAGTTTTTAAATATTTTGCTTTGTGTATTCCAAAAGGAGAGGGAACTATTTTATTTGTGCCTTCATGTCTGAATTGAAGGTAGATCATTAAATTTTCAAGGCAGTTTACAAACAAGCATTTGGTCTTTCTCGTATATAAGCAGTGGCTAAGAAGAAAAGGTTGATCAATCCTGAAGTTCAATCCTGAAGTTCAGTTTCTTATAGGTATCTTGGTTCAGTCATCGTACCTTCACTTGGCAGCAAGATCCCCAAGGACAGAGGATAGGTATATTGTGTACCTGTCCTGTAAATCAAAGCATTTTTGTGCTTGCAAAGGCTTAAGTTCTTTGTGGTGTGTTCGGAGTGAGGCTATATGGCCGTTTTTGTTGTATGTTTATGTGGAGATTGAATATAACTGTGACCCTGTGCTTGTTTGTATACTTACTATCAGGGATGCGGAGCCGTGGAAATTTCAGACGGCTCCGGCTCCGGCTCCGGCTCCGGAGAAAAAAATCGGCTCCGGCTCCGGCTCCGGCTCCGGGTGAAATGTTATGGCGGCTCCGGCTCCGGCTCCGGCTCCGAGTAAAATGGTCCGGCTCCGGCGGCTCCGGCTCCGGCGGCTCCGGCTCCGTCTCAGTACATCCCCTCCCAGCCAGCAATTTTGCTCCGGGCCCAAGCAGGCTCAAGTTCGGATTGCCCGAGATTTTTAGTCGGGCTAAAGTCGGCTGGGGCTTGGGCTAAAGTCGGCGTATGACACAAAAACGCCGACTAAAGCCCATGCTCTGCCGGAGGTATGCCCGCTCTGCGAGCTCCGGACAGCCGTAGCTTAGCCCTAGTTGAGCGACGATTGGCGTTAGCCCGATTTAAGCCCGAGCAGTGAATCCATTTATATAATGGAGATTACTCTGGGCCCGAGCGGGCTGAACTCCGGCAAGCCCACTCTGTGTGCCCTGTCTATCCCGACTTAAGCCATAGAAGTGAATGGGGTTTATACATTGCAAACTGCTGTGGCTTTGCTCGGGTTCGGCTCGAGTGACGGCTCCTGTTTTCTCAAGTCTCGACTTGACTTCATCTTGCTTTTGCTTCACACTGGATCAAGTAGCAAGGAGCAGCCAATGCACTTTCAGCAGGTTGTGCGGTTTCAATGCATATTTAACATTGTTACGGTCACTCATATGCTCTGTTAACCGGTCATCGAGGCTCGAGCATTGCAAAAGGAAAGTAGTGGTTGACTTTGATTGAATGTATATTTCAAACGACTACAAACACGTCAAATGAAACACAAATACATGAAACAGTGGACTGCAAACTGCAGCAGTAATATGGCATGAGTCATGAAAAAACGCCATCAAAACTATAAAACAATCACAAGGCCCGCTAGCCTCCCTCCCCGTTCATAATACTTGGTTAAGCACTCAACCGAAAGCATAAAGTAAGGACAGCAAGTAATCGCTCATAAGACATAAAGCAATAAGCAAACAATCGTTTATAAGGAACTTCACTCTGGTGAATGGGAGCTTTGGAGGCGTCTGGCTCCTCCACACACACACATCTGCAGTAGGTGGCCGGCCAGTTTTCGGCGCAGTTTCCGTATAACTATGTACATAGGTATACCTACTTAATTATAAGCAGGCAGTTTCCGCTAAACCACTTGGCGAGGGCGACTGCGGCGTCCACCCGGTCCTGGTTTGTATAACTATTTTATTTTTTGAACCATTTGCTCTAATGGTACGTACCTGAAAAAGAGATTCATTGGTTTAATTTACATTGCATGTTTGCTTGAAAAATAACTTATTGATGCATTAATACTGTAAAAGCACTTCTCATTGATCCGTATAAAATGTTCCTTTGATTTTAAATGCGGACAGAGAATGAGCGTGCTCGGTGATAAGTAGATAAATATTTGTGTTTCGTATTTCATTTTCCTGGGTCAGAAGTGCTGGTATTTCACAAAGATATAAAGGCACGGAATGCAGCTTTTCTGAGCGAGGGTATGAGTCGCCAGGCTGAACAGCTATTCAGCTTCATGTTTGATGGTGTGAAACTCAGTCAAAATCATGACGTTTACATACGATCAAGCGCACCATTCAATACACTTACCTACCGTAAAACTCCATGCCAGTCCACTTGATAAGAGCAGTGAGCACTATCCCTTTTTCGCGCTCTCACACGCGCCCAAACATCAACCACCAAATGCCCCAACACCGGTGTGTCGTTTCGTCGCACAGCGCGCAGACTGTCACAAACGCTGCACATGATTGGCGCAGAACTGCGCATGCGCGAACAGCCGAACAAGTATGGCTAAGCTCCGGCTTTACTCCAGTTAGCCAAAGGACACAGCCAGCTTGATCAGCCCGCGCTCCGCCCAAGTTAAGCCTGTTTTGGATGCGCGGGCAGATGTCGGGCTGAGCTACTGCTATCCGCACGTGGGCATAGCTGCGGCATGCCCCCGCTCAGCCCTAGTAAAAAATACATTGGTTTTGATCAAAGTGGGCAAACCCAAGCTAAGCCCAAGCTGCCCGACGCTTGCCACAGTTCAGCCCAAGCGAATTGCTGGCTGGGCTATGCAATCGATTAAATACGGGTGGAAGAAAAATTGGATTGGTACACGTTGCTTCTGTATTTGCATAACAACTAGCCACTAAGGCTATTTTTCTCAACAGGACTAGGAACAAAGGACTAGGAAGCGATAGCATTGGAAACGCAGTCGCCGCGAATCGGAGTTCACTGAACCATCGTAAGCTGACACCCGTCTCAGCTGCATTGGGGGGTGGGGGTGGGGGTGGGAAGAGACGGTGCTGGGAGTCGCAGTCCACTGCACTGGCTTAAAAACAATGGCCGTCACCTGATGACCGGTCCTCATGTTCTGGGGATGCAGTAGACGTTGGGGGGGGGGGGGGGAAGAGCAGACAGGAAGTTCATTGCGTACTGTGGGATACTGGGGATATTCGGCTTTTTTCATTCACTTGATGGCCCATGACGTACTATATCTCAAGATAAGGTCCCAGGCGACCTGTAGTTTTGATGCGGTGAATACCATTGCCCTCGCCACAACTCGGGCCGAGTGCACCCCTCCTCCCAGCCAGCGCCACCCCCACTCGAGTTGTGGCGAGGGTGAGGTATTCACCGCATCAAAACTACAGGTCGCCTGGGCTCTTATCTTGAGACCAATAGTACCATATGTTTTACTGCTTTGTACTGTCAAACCGAACTAGGTCAATTATTTTTTTCCTCTTCAAAAAATAAAAAGGAGCCGGAGTCGCCCCTTTTTTGGCGGCTCCGGCTCCGGCTCCGGCTCCGGGCTATATTGTTTCACGGCTCCGGCTCCGGCTCCGGCTCCGGGCAAAATATGCCGGCTCCGGCGGCTCCGGCTCCGACTCCGGCTCCGGCTCCGCATCCCTGCTTACTATGGTCAAACAGGGAACAGCACATTCACATAACATACTCACCTAGCACCTATCTCATAGCTGTACCCTGCGGGATCTGTACTTGTTCATGTCTCGAGCATTAACAAAGCACTAAAGTAGCTTAGTAATCATTTCCCACATTTTCTGAGCATCTAACATGACATACAGCAGCTTGCAGAGCAGCTTCAGAGAAGAAACACTTTAAATGCACAGACTCACACCAGCTACTCAATGAGCCAGTTCCTCAGTTTACTGTTTCCCTGGATGCAGCTTGGCAAGGTGAGCTAACTATTGGCAAGTTGAAAGTTAGCAGGCAAGATTGAGTTAGGGTGAGTACCTACCTATAACTGGGTGCTACTGCTATGCAGGTCTTGGCCAGGCTGCAAATATGTGTGATGATTGAGGTTAGGTCAGCTGTCAGGTTATTCAGGTATGCTCATTGCTCAGGTCACATTTTTATGGACACTTGGCAACCTAAAAAACTAACATATCCTAATTTAAGCTAACCCGACTAAACCTACACAACTGCTGACTATAGGAACTAAGCACCTACCTACTTGTGCCTACATCTCATACCATGTCAAAGTAGAGTTCCTTGGTGGAAGATTACCCTCAGTACTTTTTATCCCAGCCCTGTGAAGAAAACTAATACTTCTAAGCTCTGAGTCACTGCTGGCCAGCCACAGGCAGAAACGCTGAAACTGAGAGCTTTGCCATTGTATATTGGACCAACAATCACATATCACGAATGACTATGAACACATTATATGATCACATCGTTGCATGGATTGTCACATTGACAATTTTATAACAATCCTTTTTTCAAAAAATACAGTAATGATTAACTTCAAAATCAACATAAAGTGGATTTAGTGATCCAAGCTTTCTCCTCCAGTAGCAATGGAATGACCGCATGTTTCATTTGCCAGACACTGAGTACCTGATGCACATATTACAATCTGCATAGCATCTAAGCATAGTAAAGCTGCCAAAGTCCATTCATTCTAGATTTTTAACTTGATAGTTAGCACTAATTTATCTTGCTGTTGTAAGTTATCATTCAATATTCATACCAATCCAATACATCAATATGCGCTCATCAGACAACATTTTCTGGCATGATCCTGCTCAGCGCGCTCTTCAGTATTGCTCCAAGATCTGCAGTATCATAGCTTGTTTTCGGCCAATAAGCTCTTTTAATTTTACTTTTTCTTGCTGATATATGAGCCCGATCAACTTGTGTTTATCAACCAAAATTTCATAACTTCAAATTTAACTTGAAATTGATATTGTTCAGGAGTCAGGACCTCTGTCAGCTTCCTGGATACTTCGGATTGTTTTCAATCACATGCTTTTTAAATATGATATAAGTCAATCTTAAAGGATTCAAAACATCCAACAAAACGACGTACAAGAGTACGGAAACAACCAGATAAACTTAAAAAGCGCCTTGGAACAGAGCCAAGTGGTGCTCCATTTGTTTGTTTACAATGATTGTAGTGCTGATGTATTTTTAGGACTCTAAATGTCGGCTTATAAAAAATGAAACGTTTTTACAAAAGTTGTAAGGTGATTAATATTTATCTGAAAGAACTAAAATATTCAAAAGCCAAACACTATGAAATACATGAATCGGAACGAAAAAGTAACCCCAAAATCCAGCCTAATTACCGGCTCCTAAAACTGCAACAAAAGCAGCACTTTTCCCCGCAACTCGTTGTCCAGACGTAAATATGCGTACTTACGAGCACATGCTACTAGTTATTTAGTAGCTACTAGTAAATAGTTTATTTTACTTGTTATCATCGTGTACAGTCGACTGAATACCTACCAAGTCAACATCTTGTTAATTTTCGAACGGATTTTATCGGTCGACCGTGTCGTTTTTCGCCTCTAGAAGCGAAGTATTATGGTCTGGTGAGTTTTCAAGAGTCACGTCTTCCTCAGCAGAGCACAGGCCGGTATGCGCCCTGGCCCTGTCAGAGATTGCACTGACACGCGATGCAAGCTAAGTGAGAGAACCCTCTCGAACTGCAACTGCGTATATGCTATATAACCTGACACACTTTGTGTAAGTAATTGGTCTGTGCCTGTGAGCTGACCTTCGCGCGACCATCACTGCAAAGTGCCCGCGCTGCTGCGAAATCTCAGTCAAACGGGCCGGAACGAGGCTAATGCTGAACTAAATAAGGCCCAGGATAACTAATCAGCTCCATTGGGTCGTCTAAACGGCGTCAAAGACGGCGCCTGGCGCCTCACTCACCGGCAGTGGAGGTTGGACGGCGCCGCTCGTGTCAGACGCGCGTCACCCTCTGGTGTCAACACTCGGCGGCCCGCCGGTCACCCACCGGCCGTACGTCTTCACTGCAGGCCAGCTGACGTGGCAGCCCCCAGACGTAATTGCAGCGGCAGCGAGCGAAAGCCGCGGCCGCCGGCGGGGCTGCCGGTGCCCCCGGTCGGCGGAGACGCGGAGAGCGACGAGGCCCTTCTACTCTCGACCGAGCACCGAGCTGGCACTGGCCGGCACCGCGCGGCGCGCTCCTCTCCGCAACTGAAAAGGAGAAAGTCATGAATACGTTCAGCAAACGAGACCCAACAAACAGCGCCGTCCAGTCAAGGATCTGTCTGTGACAGTCATCGCACCTGAGTCGCGCTGTTGGGTGCCCAGTGCGACTCTCTCCCTTGGCATGGCCCAGCCGTCGGCGTTTGAGAGGGTCGCCGGTGGTGGGTAAACGACAAACGAAACCATTTGCATGACCAGCGCACAAAGTTCAGTCACCTCACGACCCCACACTCGCTAGAACCATTATGGTGGACGGAAACAAGCGATTGAAGAAGTGATTTTCAATTCAACAATCCGCTTTCTCACACTTCATATCATTGTTAGTCATTAGCCACCTGCGTAGTCAATGGTATGCCCACTCACGGGCCTCCGAAGACCTGGTCGCTTCTCCGCTTGAGGCAGATGTTGAAATCTTCCGACGTCTTCGTAATATGAGCGGCACTGACTCGCAATGTCCAGTGCTCACTCCCCCTCCCCCTCCCCGCCATACCCGAGCCGACACTGTCCAGCGCACCATACAAATTATAGCTATGATTCAGATCCACTCGGGTCGGCGCTGCCCGTCCCTCTCTTATCTGACACACCCCGACCTACTGTCTCGTGACTCATCCCCCCATCCTGATACACTCTGGGGTGGCACTGGTCTCCACGGCTGAGATATCTGGGCTGACACTTCCCGGTCTCCCATAAGCCTTCCCACCACACTGACACAGCCCGGCTAGATTTGACGGGCGTCCCCATAGTCCATAGGCGGCGGAACGGGGAGGGCACCGGGGCACCGTGCCCCCTTTGATTTTGGCATCTTAACATAACATTAGCCCTATGGGCGTTGCATGGAAAGAATGGGTCCAAAAGTTGGCAGTGCCCTTCCCCCCCCCCCCCCTTAATTGAAGGTGTTCCGCCGCTACTCCCCATACTGACGTACCCTGGCGACACACTGCCGTCTGGCGCCCACCACACACTGAGATGCTCGTCCGACACTGTCCTGTGTCACCCCCCACCCCCACCCCCCCACGCCACCCATACTGACTCTGACCCATCCGGTGCTGACTGGTGCCAAGTAATGACACGCCGCCGGTGGCGCGACAAGGCACTGTCGAGTACCCCGATACTGACACGCCCACATCACCCGAAGAAAAATCCCTTTCCGGCCGAAACGGACAAACGTGACGCCATCAATACCACGGTACATAATGGCCTAGGTAATAGTACCTAACCAACATAATTGCATAATTCATATGCATTATTCATACCCAATACAATGCCCAAAAATATACAAGTGAGGATATATAACATAACAGATGCCAATAGCCATGGCACTGACATTAGATATTTCACAGACACACGCTTGTCGCTTTGACATTACCTACAAATCCACTCTCGACCTCCGTTTCAGTTCCCAGAGCGGCTACCTTCCCCGCAGTGTTGCCGAGCTGGCGGCTGGGTCACGCGACGGTGTGATCGATATAGCGAGGGGAACTTCCGCACACGAGAGATAGTCCCTGCCCAGGTCGGCCGGTCGGACCCGGGTCTGGTCAGGTCAGACCGGGGTCTGTTTAGGTCAGACCAGGGTCGAGGTCAGGTCGGGGTACGCGTCACTCACCGTCGGCGGTGTCCCGTCGTCAGCGGCGTCACCGTCACCTCTGCCGGCGCGGCCATGTGCTCAGAGCTGCCGGCGGCGGCACCACACCCGCCCCCGCCCCCCGCCCCCCACTGACGCAAGCGCCGCCGCCGGCGCGCGCCGACTCCGACGATCCCTTCAGCTGAGCTGTTACGTAATCGCTAATCAGCTGCTGAGATTCAAAGTGGTGCGGCAAGGCAACTATTAAAATAAGTAGTTTGGCTGTTCTAATAATAACTCATCGATTTTATTTCGCGTTTTAGTTCTTTTAGTTCTCGGATCATGAGTAAAATATGTCTAAGAATTAGGCCAAAATTGGAAAATTTCACCATTGATGACCGTTAGTGACGACCTTAATGGCCTGAACTTAAATGACTGAAGTACCTACTTTTCATAGTGGTTTTAACAATCAATTAACCCGCGCCCCAGTGGCGGTCTCAGCCAACTTCGCCCCAGTGCAGTGGGGGGGGGGGGGGCATATGTTACCACCCACCTCTAACTAAAAAACTAAGAGGGCTAGAAAGACGCGGTAAAAAGCAGTCGATAGCTCTCAATGCGTACGTTTGAAAGTATTTCGGTCATTTTTCATCTTAGAGCAATATTGGGGTCACCAGAGGTCATCAAGGGTCAAAATTTGCCAATGGTCATTATATTTTTCAGAAAACATGCCGTTATCTCAGGAACTATGGTAGCTAGAAAAACGCATGGAAAAGCAATCGATAACTCTTGAACTCTTCTTTTGAAAAGGTCATTATCAAAATTGACCTCAGGTCACGGGTTTAGCCTCCAGAGGGCAAAAACTCCAAAAATAGCTGTTTTACGAAAATTGTTTTTCGACAATAACTTTCGACAACAAAAAGCCACGACATTTCTATTGCCAGAATCGTGTTCCTCTCGCCGAGACGCGTCGAATGAACTATAATTTGACCTTGAAAGGTCAACTTGAAAATTTGACGTCAGGTCAAGGTCATGACCTGACCGGAAAAGGTTATGTTGCATATCAGTCGATCCGTCTCGGCAAGACAAACACTATGAGACCATCCCCAGCGTTCTATCTTTTTTCCAATCGCGAGTTATTGGCGAAAATCTGTTTGTAGCCTCAAATGACCTCGGATGACCTTTCTAGAGGCTATCAGCAAAAATTACACACCTTGGTCATCACGGGTGGTCCAAATCATTGTGATTCTGAAATATTTGGACTGTTCCTATGCGTACACACGGATCTAGAGGCATTTTCATTTTTCTCCATTGACTTGTAATGGAAAGGTCACGCCACTGACCTGACCTTAGGTCACGGATATAAAAAATCCGAGATATACAAATTGTAGGCGCCCATAACATCATGCAATCCAACAAGTTTAAAACGTTTTTGACAAACACTGCAGGTTGGACATGATTGCAAACTTTTTTAGGCTTATTCAGTTAACAAGACCTGGTGACCTAACCTGACATGACCTGGGGTAAAAAATTTCACACATTGTCCAAAATTGATATACCAAAAGCTACCCCAAGCGGCGCGGCGGTACGCGCCGCGGTGTTTTATTTACACGCAAAAAACGCGACAGGGTGGTAACATATGCCCCCCCCCCCCCCACTGGGGCGAAGGTTAAAGTCTTGGTTTTAGCGAGCCCTGTCGCTCAGGCCGCTTGCCGCTACGTGGCCCAGAAGCCGAGGTAAGCCCCGAGGTAAATGGAGAGCGAGGACAATGCTTCCCCTCCTCTCGACACCTGTGTTACGATCAGGTTCAGCCTTTAGTCTACAACCGCTCCGAATGCGAATCGCGCATTGATTGATGCGATACCTCTTTCGGCTTTTCTGTATTTACCAAGCAGCTCACGTATGAATAAAGCACTGAGATGGATAGCAAAAGAAAGAGACACTTCTTACTGACTATATACTGTGAAGTGTGAACATGACGATTTCTCCAAGAACCTGAATACTTGGATGGCCTTTGACTTTCTGCTAGCTATATCGTGAACACCATCACATCGTCACTAATCCAGGATAGGGAATTTCCGTAGCTGGGATGAGTTTACATGACGTCAACCGGGACTAATGACTATCGTAGCCGTGTGGTTCCAGGGAGTGATTTGCGATAGAGCTATATAAACAGAGGCCACCTGCCCGTCATCTCAGGGGCACACGTGATGGGGCATTTCTATTTTAACTATTGCTCAATGCTCATTATTGGTAATTCTGTAACTAAATAATACACTTCAACAGTCGTCACACGGTCATGTAGACAACATGCCTCTACCTTCACACAACCGTCTGTCTCAAACCGAGCTGTGAATATGCGACGTTTAAGAGGCGATGACGCCTTGTTTTTATGCTTTTTGCGCTGTACCTATAATTCAATTCATAGTTAGGTGGGCATGTGCGCCGTCCATCTAACTCTGATCTTGGATCACGCATTGATAAGTGGGAAAATACAGGGTGTCCCAGAATTACCCGGACATTTATTTTCTGGCTAAAAGTACGACTGCGCTCGCTTCTAATGATATACAAGCATTATACTTTTATAAGATATCCCTTAGCTATCGAGATTGGGGACTGTGTGCTTTTGGTGGCCGGTAACGACTCGAATCAATTATTATCCAGAGTCAAGTAGGAGTAGTCCGTTTCCGTTTTCAGCTTAAGCCACTAATAGGCAACCATGGTGAATCAACTCCCGTTCTCAACTTTTTAAACGGACTTTCGGCATGGTTTTTGCTGGAGAGCTTCAACAGCTCATCTGCAAGCAGTTAGGACTGAGCAAAGCGCAATTATATCAGCTAACGAAGCCAGAGAGAGCAAGAGATAAACATGATTGACAAGCTTGGGCTCGGCCAAAAAGGGCCATGCACCAGTTGTCAAACAAGTGGTTGCTTGTCATAGACAACAAACGTCACCGATCTAGCTAAAAAACTAGCTAAACAATAGATCAGGATTATCTACAAAACATCAATCTACTTTGCACCACTATCTTCGACAAAATTTTGGAATTTGGGGTCCTTCGCCAGAAAAATATGCGAAAACTACGGGAAAAGCAGCGCAAATCACTACAATGCATCCCAAAAACATAACATATATATACAACAAAACAGTATATTGAGGAACACTTTGTGGTCTAACGAAGATATTATGTCATTTGAACCGCCCGAAAAAAGGCTTGTGTGAACGTCAGATGGCTACAACGCCCCAACAGCAGAGACGGCCAGGCACCCGTCGAAAATCAAATTGTGAGACATTTTGAGCCACCGTGCACTCATTGGGCTTGATATGATGGCCCAAAGACAACCGTTAGCACAGGGTACTACTGCGGTAATATTCTACCAGTGCGAAAACTGGATGCCGTGAACCAAATGGCCATGAACGGGTTTGTTTT